TATATATATATATATATAGCTGAAGATGAGGAAAAAAAGGTCATCACACTGGATATTTCTTGGTAAGCTGCTGTCAAATTTTGGGACATTAAGGAAGCAATCATAAGAGTGCAGAGGAGGAAGTTATATTTCAGTCAGATTCTATTCAGTATGGGATCCTGGAACATGTGCTTTTGTTCTCCCTTTTCCTCTCTTGGACGCAGTAAAGAATAATGGGTGACTCAGTGTGGTGTGGGTGACCTGTTCAGTTTCACAGGGTAGAACGCGGTGACCGTGTGCTGGAAAGCGGCAAGCCTTTGAGCAGGAAGCCCACACAGGAAACGACCACTGCATTGTTGCCCCAAGGCTTAAACCATGTCTGCAGTCCATAGGGAATTTTACAGTTAAGTTTCACTGTTCCATTAGGCTTTTAGCATGCAGGGTCACGTTTTTATTGCTTCTTCTCGTACACGCGGTGGCCGCTTGTGCTCAGCCTTCGTGTATTTTCGGACTTTTCTGTGTTTGCCCAGCCCAAACTCCTAATTAAAATAAACAGGCTGACAGAAGAGTTGTGGAAAGCCAATGTGAAAAATGTTTATGTCCTAATGTGAAACATTTAGTTCCCCACTTGTGCAGATAAAGTGGAAGTACAATTCTGAGTAGGAGACTTCTTGATTTAAAACTGTGACTTCATTCCAACATTTACCGTGAGTCAGACTTCTGAGAAATGTTCATGACTGCATCTGAAATAGAGACGCTCAAGACATGGAAAATGTCAGTAACTGTCCACTGTCACCGTGTCCCAGTGAATCATTTTAAATTCATTTCAGGGATAACTCGACATGTAAGTGAAATTAAGACAGGTGCATCTGGGAAGAGGAATTGTGCAACCTTTGAAAATGTAGTTTATAACCACAAACACAATACAATCTGCTTCCTTGCTCAGCTTTTTTTTAATCCATTCATTAGTGTACTTTTTGTTTTTTTCTTCCAATGTTTGGTCTCAGGCAGTTTCCAGTTATGGTTAATGCAGCTTACATTAAAGATTACATTAAAGACAAATTACAAGCTTGTAGAATTTGTTTTATTTAAAAAGTTATTTAAAAAAAAATAGTGTGCCTTAAGTACAAGTTCATTTGTGGTTTGTTTTATAATAAGTGTCTGTGTGGGCGACTTAAGTGTAGGTGTGGAAAAAGTTGGAATTAGATTTTACATGTATGACTCAACTGAGCGCTGAAGTTATTTTTCTGAAGGTAAAATTGGATTACTTACATATGTCTTGTTTAATATAAGGTATGATGATGCATAAAACACGAAAAAATTAATTTGGAGTAAAATTTGAGGAAAAAATCGCGTCAGAGGTGAGGAGTAACGGGAGGGAATTCTCAGTTGTCATGCAGGTAATGGATAATGCACCAGCTTGATGGAAAGATGTATTGATCTACACTGAGAAAAAGGTACCTTGATTCAACTCCTGGAGTCAGAGAAGCAGTACAGAGACCGAAAGTTGTTCCGTGCTGTGGGGCACGCAGTGTTTTGTCAAGGAAAAGGTGGATTAAAAATTCATTTAAAGGCGGTGTCTAACCCATGAGGAACGGTATGTGATTTTGGTGTTTTGAAAGAGCAATGATGTAGAGAGAAGTGTTGGCTTGAAAGTGAACCTGTAAGCTAAGTTGTCCCAACAAAAGGCTCTTTATATACGTTCTCTCTTTGTGCTGTTCCCACGCTGTGTTTTCTATTTTCACATCTTACAGACATTGAATTAGTGTGACTCAATTTACCACAGATTTATTCATCAGCAGCTCTTTGCATTACCATACAAAGGAGATCAATTGAATAATTTATAATGAGGCTATCCATCAACATATCACTAATAGATAAATTATAGCATCCAGCTCCTTGTACCTTCACACCAAGCCTGTGTCTTACTGACTCCCTTCAGGCTTGTCAAAGGTGCTGATGCACAACACACTCTTAGGCTGATTGCTCCAAGATGCTAGCCGTAGCATTTTCCCTATGATGAGGAGGAAAAAAAGAGTCAATCCTGGACTTGGCTTGACAAGTCTGAGCAAGCCTTTGTTTATAAAGGAAGACTGGACTTCCTGTACTGCTGCTCCTGAGAGAAAAAGTGAAATCACTTCTTTTGTATGGCTTCTACTCGGATGTATACTGCATTTTTATGGCAAGGCTTCCCTAATGCAGGGAGAGTGATATTAGTTACAACTATATCCATCAGCGTTGTAGTTCTATTGACGCCCTTTTTATATATTAAATTAAATATTAAATAAATATTAAAACTTTTATATATATTTATAATAGTTAGAAATAATTTGCACTCAAGCACGTAGAAGATTCTACTGTAATTGCCCTATTATCAATAAGAGACATTAAATTGTTATTAAGTTGGTATAATATAGTATAAAAAAAGTTAAGATTTTCATTTACTTTTTCTCTGTGTGCCTGATGTTGTTGCATTTGTTGAAAAATGTACAGAGTCTGTCAGTCTGATGAAGTAGAATTGGTGTATTTTAGCCAGCTAACTTCTCTAAGTGAACCCCAGCATTTAGGTCCTTACATGGGTTTACTTCAGACCGAGTCCACTGTTATAGTAAATAAATCCACAGACCAAACCTGCAAGGAGCATTTATTTTTGTTCAGACTTACAGATTAAATTAAACATCTATCTATCTCTCTATCTATCTATCTATCTAT